ATGGCCTCGAACGATAATGAATATTTCCAGGAGAATGTTGAAGAAATTAAAGTTAAATTGAATCAGGGAAATAACGAAGATGTCTGTGATAATAATGACGATTTAGATGATTTGCTAGATAGTTAGTGCTTTATATTTGGGTTTTAATTTTGCTTAATGTTAACTGACAATTAATATATCATTTGAAATCTAATTTGAAATCTCCCCACATTACATTCTCATTCTACATTAGCAACATTCAGCTGATGTTCATTCAATGACTGACAATTTTTTCATTTTAACTGCTAATGAAATTCTAATTAACTGATTTAGCCATTTAGTTTAGTTTTTAGTTTTGACAGCCAATGGAACCCATAATTTTTTTATATTGAATCTTAGATATTTTTATTAAAAATTTGACATTTCTCATTCCAAATCATTAAAATTAAATCAGTCTATAAAAAGGCATGAGCTCATTATAGATTAAATACCACATACTATATTACCCACTGTTGTACTAGACTAACCTAAGCTTCAGGCTTCAAGCTATGTTTTTGAATAAATAAATAGATAAATGTCATTCATCAATTTTCTTATTTAAATTGAAAAAGAATATCATTTTATTGATGAATACAGGTGCTTTAGGTGATTTTGACAAGTATTCAAAGGACTCTGTAAACAGCCCATCTCACAGTAACAACAACAATGAGAAAAACCATGAAGGCTCTTCAAACTCAGTAAAACAAATCACTTTTTTTTAAATAAAATTTTATTTTTTTTGTTTTCTTTATATTCATTTCTTTTTATATCATTTACTTTAGTATAGTGTGACATGCATGAGCATAAGATCAATGTTAGAAAATAATTTAATCTTTTTAAAACAAATAATTTTACGTAAAAATTAATTTATATTTTATTTCAACTAACAAACAGATTGGTAAACCATCCTCTGCAACTGACAAGACTCAAGAAACAACATTTGATAAAATCTATGAGGAGATGTTCAAACAGTTTCAAGATGCTAGCAACCAGTCTGGGGCAAGTGCCAACAAAACAGAATTTTCTAATTTTGACCCATCCCTATGTGGTACTGACTTTTAACTGAACTTACCTTTAAATTTTTATTTTTTTAATAATTTTAACATTTATTCATTTTATTTTTACAAGTTTTTTCTTGGCAAAATTTTGCTCTCTTAATATAATAATTATTTTACATTTACATTCTTTTTTGATGTAAACACACTTTACATATAGTAGCTTAATGTAATGCAAAATGATGTGCAGATCTAATTTGTAAAAAAATTTCTCACTAGGCGACATAGCAGCGACACTACAAAAAGCTCTAGGAAGCCTAAATCAAAATCTTAGTGATTTACAGGTATTGATGGTTGAGAATGGATGATTGAGATCATAGTTCTGATCAGAATCTCATTCTCTCTCTCTCACCTTTTTTTTCTCTTTTTCCTTTTCTTCCTTCCTGTTCTCTCTCTCTCCCTCCCTCTCTCTCCCTTTCTCATCAAATTTTTATTCATAAGTTTTATAACACTAAACAACACCAGAATGAGAACATGAGTGAGTCAGACATGTTGGACCTCCTATCAAAGATGAGTAATGCAGGCCTCGATGACAGTGACATTTCACCAACCTCACCGTTAAACAACAACAGTAACAATGCCGATGACATTTTTCCTTTGATGCAAAATATGATGAAGAATTTACTGTCTAAAGAGTTACTATACCCTTCTCTCAAAACCATATCTCTCCAGGTCATTTTAATAATTTATGTTAATTATCTAGTGGTAATTTTCAAAGTGAAATCTTGCCATAAGAATGATCAGTTTGATTAAAAACTTCTTATAATGCATTGCTATTTCTAAAGGTTTTCATTCAGGAATTGAACTATAAACTACACACTACAAACCTAATGTTAAATTAATCATCTTATTTTTATTTTTTTGCCCTAAACCAAAATCATAACACAAACTGCAACAGTACCCATCATGGCTGACATCAAATGAAAACAAAATATCAGCAGACGAGTACAAACAATACAAAGAACAATATAGATTAATGTCTGAAATTGTCTTTGAATATGAAGCAGAACAAAATGGCGACAGTGAGGCAGTGAAAAATGTCAGGATGAATAAAATCCTGGACCTCATGCAGCAGATGCAAGCTCTTGGTAACCCACCTAAGGAGATAGTAGGAGATATGGTTATTTTGAATTTTTTTTCTTTTATTTTGTCTATTGAATTTATTTTTGCCAGCTTTTGTTTAAGTTGTTCTGTTTTCAACCATTTCGGCCATTTGGGTCTTTTTAATCATATACAAAATTATACAAATATGGATTGTCATATTTTTGACACTGTCATTATTTTCTCTGTGTAATTTTCTATAAATTATTTTCAATTATTTTTTTTATATTATTCATTAGTTGTATTGCTATTATTATTATAATTTTTAATCAACTATTCAAATTTAAGCCCAAAGACTTCGATTATGATGAGTTTGGTTTGCCTAAAATCCCAGGTTTGTTGCCCGATCCCAACCAGTGTACTGTCTCCTGATTATTTTTTATTTATTGTTTATAAAAATTGAGAAAAAAATGATTTCATTTTTTTTATATTAATTATTATTTCTTAATTACAATTTATTATGATGAATGAATTAATCATTGAAAGACGTTTTTGGATTCAAACGTTTTTAAAGACATTGTTATCTGTTAAGTTACGATTAGATGCTACTGACAAAAATAGTTTTTCTTTTTATATATAGGAAATTATTTGATTTACATCGGTGACTAAGCTATTCCTTTTGTTAAATTTGGTTTCTCAACTTAGAAAAGACGCCGATTCGTGTTAAAAGTGTAAACTCATATCAGTAATTGATTAATAAGTTATTGGTTGTCTTGGCATATGTTACTTAGGTCAAAAACTGCTTAACTTGTTTCCCAAGTGATAAATTTTTGTCGTGTTTCGTTATGATAGATGCTTGTTAAACGTGGAAAATTTTTTCTTCGTCAATCGTTTTGATATTTTAATTTCATAATTCCATTTTATTACATCCGATTTTGTGTTTCTTTACCAATCTTCATAAGTAATAATGAGTGGTATCACATCGTTTCTATTGTAAAGCTCTGTAAGAAAATATTTTTTAAATTATCAAAAAGTACTATATGTACGTGACATCTTGCTGTCAATTAAACCATTTAAATACTATACGATATGAAAATGTGATTTTGGAATGATTCGAGCTCATGATTGAACTTGAAAATTGGTACATTAATTGAGAAATGTAATTGGCTTTCCACAGTAAAAAAAATTGTCGCTTGGTTCCATTGTGCGCGTGCGTCAAATGTCATACAGGTAGTGGTTAATATTCAAATTTAATTTTTGAAAGAGATTTATTTAAATTAATTTTGAATTTAATTCGTAAAATTCGAAAGTCTGATAGATTTTCATTAATAGGTAGCTTTGTATTTTTTTGTTTTTTATTCAATTTTTCGTTTTTGTAATTGAAATGAATGAATGTTTTTGTTTTGTTTTACTTTTATAATTTTAAAATTAATTTTTAATTTTACTTTCCATTTTTTTTCAGCTTTCACTTTTTTTTATTTTAATAATCAATATTTATTTTTAACTGTTTTATTCACTTAACTATTTGTTATCTGTTTATTATTCCTGTTTAAGTGAAAGTTTAATGAAAAAATCAATGATTATTTTCACTGTCCAAAAATCCTAATTAATTTCCTAACTGATAACTCTCCTAACAAGTGAGTCCTATCTTCTTAACTAACTCTCTCTAACCTCTAACCTAACACTTACAGTTAGTGCCCAACTCAACTTAGTCATTAAGTCATTTATGTGTTGATAATTTGGGTATTATTTTTATCATCATCATTGTTATATTATACAATTTTTAATTATAACAAAGACAGAAGAAGAAACACAACATAAAATTACATCGTCATTCTCCATAACATCATCACTATAATCAACATCATTATCATCGACCCTATGATAGTTGTAGTTGTAATAGTTTTATTTGATAAGTTTGTTTATTTTACAATTGTACATTGATATATTTTGGTCAGTCTGTCACTAATACTGATAATTAGTTTGTGCTCAATAAAACTCAAATGTAGTTTTTATAGAGTAAACAATCAATTAGATGTAAGTCTTATTTGATAATATTATTTTTATCATTTTATTGGTATTTGTTGTCATGATATTGTTATTATTATTAAGTAACATGATTTATTGGATATCTCCATTATGATTATATAACCTCCTACCTCAGGGAACTGGGTCTCTGGACGCTAAGCGAAGATTGATAGATTGATTGCTTGATCCATTATGATTATATATATATTAAATATATATATATATATTAAATATATATATATATTATTTTAAAGGCAATCTTGTTTGGGTACATGTTTTAACATGCAAATAGAGGAAAATTAATAAAAAGATCTTTGCATATGTACGTACATATTTTTTGTTGAATTTAAAATTTTATTTGTTATATATTATAGATAGAATATTTTTATTTTCTCTTTATTATTACTTTTTGTGATTAATCGTAATTTTTTATTATAAAAATATTAATTAATAGTGAAATAGCTCTTGGTTATCTAAGAGCTGTAAAGTTCTCATACTCTAGTTATCTACAATTTCAATAATAATAATAATAATAACAATAATATAATAATTACATCAATAATAATAATAACTTTGTCACATGTTTTTCATTAAAGATAATAATAATGATGTAATTTTTTCCAATTATAAATTTTCTGTTGGCTTCATGTTTTAAATTTTTTAAATTTTAAAAGCAGTTAATTTATTGATTCATAATTTTTTTTTTGTTTTCAACCTAGTTTACTTTTTTATGTTTCATTTTAATTTATTTTAAATTTTTATTTAGTTTTTCATATATATCTATCATTCTTTAAAATGATTTTTTAGTGATTTTGTTTGTGTGTGTTGTAACTACTCTATTATTTAGCTACATCAAAAAATAAATTAAGTTTATTAAAGTTACATCGTCGTCGTCATCATCATCGTTAAAGTTACATTTTATTATTTTTCTGTTGAAACCATATTGTAATCATTTTATTCTATGGTAATGATAATATTATTCTTTTATTTATTATATTTAAATAATTATTACTATAATTATTCTTGTAAGGATGAGACATATTATGGAATTACCAATAAAGATAGAGACAGAGCTGTTCACTGATGTATATGAGGTCTCCAGAGAACTTGGAAGGTGAATTATTATTGTCTATGTTTTGTTTTGCTTTTTTTGTAAATTTTAAAAATTATTCTATAAAACTATATTTATGTCTTCATAATTTATTTATGATTATAATATAATTATGTAATATTCACCAAAGTATTCACCAAACAGATATGTACCTGATTAGCTTAAGTGTCTATATGTATAATGTTTCATAAACAGAAAATGATATTACATGTTGTGTTGGAATGGTATGGCTATAGCTGTGATGTGATGAACTGAAACACCTACACACACACACACAAACACACGCACGCACACGCGGACTAACATATCCATACACTGGCACACCTATGTACATTTTCCAAGTTTTAAACATCTTTATCATTTTAAAATGCAGTCTTAAAATACTATAAGTAAGCCTCAGTCAAAGGTAATAGCAACAATAATAATAGTAATAATAATTGTAATAGCATTAGTAACAGTGATGCTGATTATTTTAATGATAATGGGCATAAACAGGTTTTAAACACATGCATTTAACAGATGCAGGTTTTATCTGCCATTTCTTTTCTTCACGTGTGTGTTTGTGTGTGTATGTGTGGGTGTGTGTGTCGTTGTGTGCCTGTGTACATGTGCTTATATTGTATGATATTGTGTGTATGGAAAAAATGTATTGTTCTATATGGTTATACATTACATACACACATAACATAATGTATTCAGTTTCCCATATTGACTTCCTTCAATTGTGATTATGTGTATGTGGGTGTGAATGTGCGTGCGTGTGTGTGTATGTGAATGTATGCACCTAAGAAAATTTAATGCTAAATTATGGTTGTTTAAAATTCGTTTCATTGTTTTTCTTTTATTTGTTTCCGCCTTTAAATTGCTGCTTACATGCATACATACTTTCTTACACGTGTATACATACACGCATACATACTTACATACTTACATACATACATATATATATACATACATTGCTACATACATCCTTTCACACTCACTCTTTCAATGTATTGTTTTACTGTTGTGCTATGTTGTTTGATTACATAGGTTTGTTTATTACACTTGGTTGTTTGTTTGTGTGTATGCGCTTATGTGTACAATATATATGTAAATCTGTTTGTTTGTTTGTGTGTGTGTGTGTGTGTGTGTGTGTGTGTGTGTGTGTGTGTGTGTGTGTGTGTGTTGATGTTATATGTTTATTAGTTATTGTATAATATGTGTTGTTGATGTTATCACATGAAAGTGTTGCATTTGTTGCCTGTGTTGTGTCTGTTTTATTGTTCTCATATAGCCAGTCAGTCAGCCAGCCAGCCAGCCAGCCTATAATGACTAACAATTTCTTGAAAAAGTTTTATTGCATCATCATCATTTATCATCAATCACCTCCATCATCTTACTCAGTGTTGTATTGTATGGTATTGTATTGCATTGCATTGTTTTGTATGGTATTGTAATTGCAATGAAGATTTACAAAGCTAGTAAACTTTAGAAGGACATGCTATCATAATCATTGTAGTTATTACATTATTCTTATCATCGTTATATTAATCACAATCAGCATCATCATCATCATATATCCATCATCGTCGTCATTATCATTTTGTGTTACAAATTCCAAATGCATGCCTGAACATTCATATTATGATTGTTTCTATTACTTTACTATTTAGTGCTATTACCAGTTCAACTAATGATATCCCTAATCATATAACTAATTTGGCTGCTACTAGATTTATTGCTTTCATTACCACTACTACTTCAACTAATGCTATTAGCATTATTGCTACTACTACTACTTTTCCTGTGTTCCTACTACTACTATTACTTCTACCTGTAATGATTATACTTATACTGCTAATTATACAACTACAATGCTACTATTGCTACCACTACTGCCGCTACTACTACTACTACCACTACTACTATTATTACTACTACTATTACTCAAAATATTGTTTGTGCTATTGAATGACCATATTCTTTCTTTCCATGTAACTCAAATTCCAAACATTCCAACTTAAATTGCACTTAAAAAATTGTTTTTCAATTTGTTTGCTTGCATATTGTATACAGATACACACTCACAAGCGTACGCACGCTCACAAACACATGCACACACACATACACATACACTCTCGCTCTATCTATCTCTCTCTCACACACACCCAGGTATATGTAATCTTACATGATCATTATTCTTTTGATATATGGTTGGTTGTTATTATCCCTTCTAAGATGAAGATAATGATGATGTTGTCTCTTCAGTAAGATAATAACAAGAAAATAATAATGATGGCAATTATAATGGCTTGACAATGATAATGATGTTGATAGCTGATGATGTAATTGTTGAAGCCAGCCAGTTAGTTGATGTTATGACTGGATGCATATGAATGAATAAAAGCTATAATGTCTACCTTGTTTTTGTGCCAGTTTGTGAATATGTGTGTTTTTGTTTGTGTGTTTGTTTGTTTGTTTGTTTGTGTGTGTGTGTGTGTTTATATGCATGTATGTGCATGTGTGTATTTTTTTTATTAATAATTTATTTTGTATATGTATCCATTTATATTTTTCCTTATACCTTAAGTAAGAATATTGTAAATATTGATAATTATACTGAAAAATATTAATGCAAATATTTTTTACTTTTGTACTTAAAAATAATTATTGTTATAATAATTATTGTAATGATGAAAGTAATAGAATATTATTTAAATTTATTATTTTATTATTATTTATATTATTATATTAATTATTATAAAAAAAAACAGAGGCAAGTTTGCAGTGGTCAAGCAGTGCAAACACAAGAAGACCAACATGGAGTATGCTGCTAAGTTCATCAGGAAGAGGAGAAAAGGTTAGATGGCTGGTTGGTTGGTAGGTTGGTTGATTGGTTGGCTGGTTGGTTGGTTTGTTGATTGGTTGTTCGGTTGGTTGGTTGGCTGGTTGGTTGGCTGAGAAAATGAAAAGGGTACTCAGACATACACACGGATAATAACACCCACATATTCACACGGCGGTGGAAAACAGGTGAAGATTGTCGGAAAGAGATCCTTCATGAAATTCGAATGCTCCATCTCACGCTACCTCACTCCAATTTCGTTCACCTGAATGAGGTGTACGAAACCAAGAACGAAATGATACTCGTCACTGAACTGTGAGTTGCTTGCTTACTTCATTCAGTACATCTGTACTGGTACTTTTGATAGTTATACTTTATAAAGTGCATATGTAAAGTACTTGAAATGAAATTTTATCATGTACTTAGATGTTTATTGTACTTGTAACAGTACTTCAAATGTAATATAATATTTTTGTTATTAATAATATCTTTATTATAATCTCATTTTATTATTGTTGTTATTGCTATTATTATTCCTAGGGCTGTAAAAATTATGAATTAATTTGTAGCTTTGTGTGCTCATGTGTGTGTCTGTTTGTTTGTGTCTGTTTGTGTGTGTATGTGTGTGTGTATTTTTCACATGTTCATGAGTAATAAATCCTATTTAAAGGTAGATCAAATCATGAGAAAAATTTTGAAAGATCATGATATGTTGTAATCCTTATAAGAACGTAAATAAGCAAAATAAAAGAATGAATGAATGAGTTAATCAGTGAAAGAATAAATGAAGGAATCAGTGAATGAATAAATGTTTTTGTAAATGAATTATTGATCGGAGGAATAAAATGGAAGTACAACGAATGACCGATGGATTGATTTGAGTAACTGAATGATGGATTAAAATAAACAAAGGAATTAATGATAAACTGAAGGAATAATGAATGAATGAAGGAAGGAATGATTAAATGTATGTATGAATGAATGAGCAAATGTATTGTTGGTTAAGCGCCGGGTTGGAAGTGAGGAT